CAAATTTTCCCACATTTCTGAATTTTTTGGGCTGCGTAAGAACCTTTGATGTAAACAAAAATAAACAACCACCAGTAGAGAATGTGCTACAGCTTTTACTGTTGTTCCACAACAGATACATTTAAACATTCAATTTAATGCTGCATTTGGACTTCGATTTTAATTCCCACTTAATTTGTTGTGCACAATTTCTTTTGTAACTGGCGCGTCAGTTTTGTTGTCACATTTTAGTCTAATTAATGTTGAAAATAGAAATTATTGTACTGTTATTGTTTGGTTTATTTATTTTCTAGGGAAACTTAAATTATTCAGAATCTAATAGAGCTAGAGCCTAAAATTATTTTATCATAAATCGTATGATGTTTGGTACTAGTATCGACGGTAACATGCTGTTCCCAAACTGAAGCATCAGCAGCGTTATTAGTGCCATGCCTTGTATAATAATAGATCTGTCAAAGTTATCACAGGTTCTTTTACTCTGAGATATTGAGAGTTCCTCTCATAAGAAATAAAATTACACCAATATAAAATCTCTACCCTCACAGCCTCTCCTCCCGCAGGTGCTGCGCAATATCTGTGTGTCCTCCGGCAGTGAATCACATTCATGAGAGGTTCAAAAGTTAAGATATCCTTTCTTGCAGCAGTGCATGGAGATATGTAGAGAATTATGATGTGCATTCCTTAGTGTTCAGGCGTTCCTCACAATTTTCTGTCTGAGGACCAAAACTACCAGAATTACATACTCAAAAAATCCAATGCAAAGAGCACAGCTGAACGTTTATAACAAAACTCAGACTGGCAAAGAAAAAAATTGGAAGTAACCTCAAATTTTGGACTAAATTGGAAGTTGGTAATTACCTCATTTGTATGTAAACTACTATAAAATGGCAAAAGAAAAGGTTTGAATAGTTCATTACAAGGAGTATGACACCACTCTAAATATTAATGTTATCATTAGAGAAGTCCTTAACAATGAGATAGAGAACAAAGTTTGACAAACTATAATATAATAGTATTTTAAAAACATAAAATAAATTCCAGCATTTCCTTTAAATCAATTCATTTTAGTTAAATGTTCGTTCGATTAAGATTAGAATTATAAATTTTGATGCACAAATGACAATGATCTTTTAAACAGTAGATTTTAAGGTGGTCTATCGATTAGAAAACCTGAAGTACTATATCCCTTTAATATGTTAGAGTATAAAAATAAGAGACTTAAAAGCATAAAACAATTTTGACCCTCTGGAAGCCTTTTAAGTGCATCTTTTGAAATTTGTTGGTCACTAACTTATTGCTCTATGAGTGTTTTCAACCATCCAGCCTCTACAATGTTCAACCAGATGTTTGCTGGAACTTCTCATATTCATAAGTTTAATACTTTATTTAACTTCTAAATGTTCCAAAACCTTCTCCACCCAAGAAAATGATGTGAAAAGCTTTAGCACTTAGCAAGTTTATTACTTTCCTTTACTTTTACTCAGCAATTTAAACTTGGTCACTTAAGGTGCTTTGACTCAGAAGGACAAGCAATCATCCAGCAATCTCAAGGTTGCTGGTCAATTCCTGCTTCCTCCTGGAAAATAATGATGTGTCCCTGGGCAGGTTGCCTAATCTTAAGAATCCTGCCAGTCTGTGTATGAATGCATTTGAAGTGTGGTTGGGCGAATGTAGCTGTAGCATTAGGCAGAGAAGTCATTATGAATGAATGAGTCCATCCATCCATCTACAAAGCCTTTTTCATACAGACTCAGAATTTTTTCTCTACATCTTACCTTGTTTACAAAATTCCAGCTTTAGTTTATAAAGCATCATCTGCTCTTCAAGGTTTTTATTGTTTCAAACCCTATTAAACCAATATTTCTATAACAAATTTAACTCATTAAATTGTTTAAACATCATAAAGTATATATTTTTGTGTTAAACGTTCTTTTCCCTCAAAGTAGGTCTATATAAAAAAAAAACAAAAGTGATTAAAATCTACAAGATGCAAAGGCTCCCATACAAATCCTCAGCGTTATTTAGTCTTATACGATGCTGTACAATACCTACTCTATGCAAACAGTTAATTGCATTTACCTATTCTATTTCAACTTCTTAGCACAATTATATTGGTATTAATACAGCAAGGAAACCCTAATAGAGCAACACCACCTCATTATGATGTGATATAATCTGGTTGAATTGTAAAGTGCCTATAGATGACATGCATTGTGAATTGGCGCTATATAAATAAACTGAATGGAATTACCCTCTTTTGGTAAGGCAGTCAACTGGCGCATTGTCAATCTGCCAATTGATTTACAAGAGCAGCAGCCCAGAAAGGAAACACTTTCTTCTGTCTTTGCTAATTTTATTATCCTTTAGATTTGTTTGCAAATATATAGCATGAGAAGGGCATTAAAATGTAGACTGCTGTACGGTGTACATCTGAGAACATTTTCAGATTTTAGGAAATAAGTTATAAGGTTTCAAAAATAAATGAATAAATAGATTTCAGGTCTTATGAATAAACTTATCAGGTCTTAGGGCTCAGGAAACATTAGAATTACCTTTTCATTTCAGTGAAATCATCTACTAAGCAGAGATTTGAGTTGTACAAAGCCACATTTCTGTCTACAAAACATATTCAAAATGTATTATGGATAATAGAAAGCATAGTAGAACAATCAGTGCAGATGGGTTTGTACCCGAGACCTGAGAATTTCTTTTATTGAGACTATATACTTTTTTTTTTTTCTAAAGACCTGATAACTTCTTTCTTGAGACCTGAGCATGTCATAAATTGCACAACGTTGATATGTGGACTGGTATGATAACTCTGAAGCTGAGTCAGACTGATATGTTGTTTAGATATTACAGTTCAGAAGAAAGCAATAGCTAAAATTGTTTTCAATTCTTTCGTAGCTTAGACCAGTTAAGTGTGACATTTATTTATATATTCATTTTGGAGATCCACAGGGCTATTGTACATGAATCCTCTCTATCTCTGTCTGCTTATCCTCTCTAAAAAACATCACTCTGAGAACATTCTGTATTATAAATTTCAATGAATTGTCTACTGGCAATAATTATGCAGGTGTAGATACATACATTTCCATTGCAATTTAATATTAAATGACACATTTCATAGCTTCGATAAACATAATTCAATAAAAACGATCAAATATGTTCATTGTTAGCAATGAGAATTTCATATGTGTGACTGGGTTTCTTTTTTTTGTTTTATGTATGCTGTTATACAAGCTAGCCTTTTTCAGCACCATTTGCACAATTTATTTTAATTTTTATTAGGCCTTGTTAGTTTAACTACTCTCTTGCAATAAAACCTTAAACTGCTTCAGATAGAAAACAAAAATAATTTGAACGACACCTTAACAAATTAATTCTGTAAATATCATACTTTTTATCATTATCAAGGACGGTGCCAACTTGGAATTTGAATAGTGGACTATAAGACTTTGAGTCTTAACTTTATAGTTTCCAGGTCCTAACTGTGAATATTTTTCAACATGGAGAATTATAATAATAATATCTTTAGAGTTTAAAGAATAATTTGTTTCTTTGGTGCTGCAGTACATGTTTTTAACATTTCTTCTAGGATTGTTGAGGCACAGTTTTTCCTTTTTTTTTTTTTTGGTTGTTCTTCTGCTTAAGTGAGGGATCTAAATACTTCCTCTGTCACTGCACCAGTCACAGAAATGAAAACCTCAAGAGATAGCTGGCACAGGAACACTGATTCCCAGTCAGTTAAAGTACGTTTCCTTCAGCACTTTGACTCATTTCAAAGCCTTGCAGGCTTAAATAATGCACTATCGATATGGAAGACTTTCAGAGCCAAATCTTTCCCTGTGTATTGACTCTCGTAAATAAGCAATGATTGGGAACAATTTTCTCAGTCATGCTGCTGTAGGCCTCTGACCTTTTTCTCTTCTGGCAAGTGTTTCCAGCTATATAGCCATAAACTGCTGCCTCCTTAGTAGACATGTAGAGCCTGTCCAACTGAATCCCAGACTCAGACATTTCTTTCTCTACCCTCTCTCTCTCTAGAGGTAGCTCATGTGCTGAAGGAGTGATTAAGTGCCTCCATTATTAGACTTAATTAATGACTCTTTTTTTTTTTTTTTTACCAGAAACTGGCTGAGAGTTTTCAGCTCAGGGCCTGTCTGCAGTAAGCAGATATGCATATATGTTTATTCAGTGGTTTACATACAAGTATGTAATGAACAAATTATGAGGAAAAAAGTAAAGAAACAAAAACTAATTCTCTCATAAAGTTGAGAGTGGATTCTCATTTGCAGTTTGATATATTTGTCCATAATAGAGCCCAGAACCTCACAAGTAAACAGCTTGTTTTATTCAAACTGAAATAGTCACTAATCTTGGAGCTTCCTTAATTAATCAGCATGTTCTTGTCAATGAGCCTCATGTAGAAAATGAGAGTTCATACCCAGGGGCCGGGGGAGCTGCTGAGAGGCTGGACCATTTGGTTGCTATAGCAGCTACTGTACAGTGTGAGCTTTGAACATGAATAAGGCATGCCTGTAAATAAACTACACTCATGATGACACAAACACAAACTTGTTGGTTCTCTTACAAGCAATACAATAAACAAATCCATACCTAAAACAAAGTGTCTATTATAAATAAAAAAAACAATTGCGAGCATAAAAATAAATCTTTTTTTTATTATTTTGTGGCTGAGCCTTCTGCATCAATCAATCAATGCCAATGAGCAATCTCTGCACGTCTCACAAAGTCGCCTGTATTTGCCAAGCAGTGCTTTGGCCCACTTCTTAGCAAACTGCTCAGGCTGTCTCAGGTTTGAAAAGGTTGTGTCTAAACACTGCAATTTTCACATCTTTTTATAGATGTTCAACAAGATCAGGTTTTGGGCTCATGGAAAGCCATGGGAGAATGGCCCAAGTTTATTTGGAAGCAGTGCTTTTTTTTAGCTTTGTGTTTCCATGACTTATGATATATTAATTTTCTCTGCACAGATTTAAGGTTTCCTTTGAGCAGATATGTAGCCCCAAATTAAAAGTAAGCCTCCATTATGTTTCAAGGTAGGTATGTTATACGGGATAGAATAAAAAGGTTAATAACCATTGCAGACTACGTTTTACAATCTGGGTAATCAACATCATCAGGGCTTCTCTTCTCTCCATAAAAGGCATTTCATCACAGCGCTGCATCTCCCGAGCCTGTAACATTATCAATGACCCCTCCCACCCACACCAAGAACTGTTCTCCATGCTGACATCTGGGAAGAGGCTTCGCAGCATTTGATACAGGACCTGCAGATTCTGCAACAGTTTCTTCCCCACCACGTCAGACAGCTGAATGTTGAAAAAACTCTTAATCATGTCACAGACATGTCATCAAACTGACACCAATCCAAAACCTGCAAAATAAATACCATATATATTTAATTTTCTCCCACAGTTTGCATTTGTTCACTACTGCACTTTAAGAAATGGGAATGTCATGAGAGCTGCACAAAACGAAATGTTGTTTTGTATACATTCTGTATATGCAAAATTACAAAAGTTGTCTAAGTCTGAGAGAAAAACAAAACAGAATACTTAAATATATTAGATAAAGTCTAAACACATACCTATCTATGTATAAATCCATCCATCTGTCCATCCGTGCATACATGCATGCATCTATCTATTTTCTTTCACACATTTGTAGTCCTCTTTATGTAGCAGCAACCTCAGAAACAAATTAAAAAGTCTTCTTTAAAACTGTAGCAATTTTACTACTCTCACATCAAAGCCAGTTTTATTGAGTGTAAATGTTATAGACATCCTGTCCATACTGTAGATTCTACAAAAACTAAGTTGTGGATCTCTGCAGTACTTTCAGATAAATCATTTCCCTCTTGCCTGCTTTTCTGATTATTGCTCTAACCCCCCAGCCTCAGTTTAGGTGGACAGTTATGTCTTGGTAGGTTCACTGGTGTGCCATCGTCTATTCATTTAAGGATGATGGATTAAACATCGGTCTGAAAGATCTTCAAAGTGTGGTATATTGTTTTATAACATAGTTCTGCTTTAAACCTCTCAGCAACTTTCTCCCTGACCTGTCTGCTGTGTTCTTTGGTCCTCATGAGGCTGTTTGCTCACCAACCTTCTGTTATGAATCAGCTGTGTTTACCTTGAAATTAATTACAGGGAGGATTAATTTATTTACTAACTAGAAAAGTACTCTGAGAGCGCAGACCTCTGCCAAGCAGCAAATCTTGTCCCATATTTTATCTTATTTATTATTTTTATCTTATTTTATATTTATATATTATTTTCTATTTTAAATAACTATTAATTCTGTTCATTTTCTGTGTAAGTCAGCTAGAATGAAATTCCAATTCTTGACCTATGATGACCTGAAAGGTTCTACTATCACCTCATAAAGTATTTTGCAGAGACACCTCCTGGCTGGGTGTGGCATATTTGGATACATTGGAAAACTTAGTAGATCTGGGCCATTTTGCTGTTACAACAGCTATGGTCAAGAAGACAGACAAGAAGATGGAGATTTCATCTGCAATTTGTGTCTATATCAATGATAATAATAACATACAATAAATTCTGTTAATACTTAAATGTGTTGCATTTTTTTGTTGACTATCTAAGAAACATTCCACTGGGATTTGGAAATTAATGATAAAAAACACTTCTACCTAAAATTTGCACATGATCTGGATCATTACCAAATTTAAATGAATTGTTCCTTTGAGTAAGGTGCACCTTTGGTAAAATTTTCCTTAAAATCCTTCCACACAGTTATAAACAATGCACAGCATGGGTCTGTAGCCTCTGGTGTTTGTTCTGCTCTCATCTTCTTCATTCATTCTGCTTTCTTGTTTAGCAGATCGAGACAATAAGGGAGGCCTGGCTCACCTTTCTTGTGATTTGTCTGTAATAATTCCTGACCTTTTTGAGTTCGATGCTGAAGCTGTCAATAGTCACTGCTGCCACTGTCTGGTTTACTGGGAAAACTGCATGTTCTGCCATTAATCTTAAAGAACACTTAAAAAAAAAAACTCCATCCAGATTCTGATGTGGATCATTACCAAATTGTAATGGATTGTTCCTTTGAGTGAAGTCCACATTTGATAAAAGTGCTATCCTGTAGACAGACAGACAAAGACAAACACACAAACTAGACTAAAAACATAACCTCCTTGGCAGAGGTAATACAACAGGCCTTATGGAAAATCAACTTGTGCTCTTTCCTTTTTCCTGCTTTTATTTATTAAAACTTTCTTACTTAACTGAAAAAAATCCAGTTGTCTCTTAAATTATAAAATCCAAATTCCAAATGTATTTAACAGGACTTTAATTTGGTGACGTCTGAAGGCAAGTGGTTGCATTTAATTCTATTTACGGGTATCAGAGAAAAGGGTTTAAGTTCAAAGGCATCTCACAGAGATATAGATTTTTATCTGTAAATAAATGATATGAAAAATCCATATCCTTCCACTAGAAGCATATTTTAAATGCAGAGTGGTGATTTGGTTGTTACCTGACAGGTACAGTTATGTGGGAAGCATTTTAACGAGGGTCACAAGAAAGCTTAAACATGGGTCAACATACACATGTATTTCTGAAACATAAAGCCCGCATACAGATAACCTGCATAGGCAAACATCGGCACCTACAGCAGCCATAACTGAGTATCAGCACAGATTATACGACAGCCCCTGTCATACTGCTGCTCTCCCAACAGCAAATAGTGATTTCCTTAGAAGAACGTTGGTAGGCTTTGGAGAAACGTGGGCTCTTTTTATATTCATGTAAAGAAGAAAGTGTCTGTGTTCCAACAAACAGGTTGAGTCACATTAACCATTTGTATGTCTATCTGGAATGATACTGATTTATAGCCTTACCCTTGTGTTCAGACCATCTGGAGCACACAACACTCAGAAAAGTGTCCACATTTAAATAAATGCAGAGACCTCCTTTTTCATTGCACTCCTTTATTAAGCTCAATAGATCGACTTTTGAGAGGAAACAGTGCAAATACAGAGGATTAAAATCAGTTGTCTAAAAATAATATGATTACTCATTCCAGAGAGAAACAGAGCTAAAGGTCACAATAACAAAGCTTTTAATAATAAGGGTGTTGACAGCTACAAAAATATACATGTTCTGCTTTTAATCTTGAAGCTCCAAGTTTTTTAATCCCTCAGTTTTCCATCTCATTTATTTGTCAGCCTCTCCCCGCCGAGTTATTGCTGGTTACAGGTGCCCGTGGTGTCTTGGCCACAACACGTGCAGAGCAAAGCCAAGTTTAGCATCATTTCTGGCTGACAGGATTGTCAATACAGAAGCAGCTGGAAAATTTGATGTACCTGCCAAAACTGGACAAATATTTTTGTGTGTTCCAGTAACATCACATTTTGCAAATGAGCTTCACTAAGCTTGGCACTAGGTTTGATGCAATTACCAAAAGTTCAGCTTTTGATTTTAATGAGGTTTTGAATTAATCATTTAAGACTCAGTTTTAAAATGTTTAACTTTACATACTTGCTGACAATGCTTATCATGTGAAGCAGATGAATATAATTCTATTTTTAAGTACATGATGTCTAGAAATATTTGTATTATATGTTTTAAGACTGGGGAAACCTATCCTTGTAGCTTCTTTTAGGAAATATCAGAGCAAAATTCCATCTGCTACAAAAGCAATAATCCTGCAGCCCGGGAGTGTAGCAGCTGCCACAGACAGTCTCTGGTATACCGTCCTTCTCCTGAGAGTGAACCAGCTGTTACTGTACAGATGTTACTCATAATGTCTATAAAGTCAGTAGAACATAACCTCAAAGAAGCCTTTCAAAAACCAGCCTAAAAGGCACTGCCACACAGATATGTTTTTAAATTTTTGAGCCTGAGGTGTAGAAACATAAGCTTAAAAGAATCCATGCGGCAGATTGACAATTAGGGGCCATTTCCCATCTGCTTGCAGATTATAGTCCCAGTGGGAGTGACAGGTTCTGAGGTTAGTTACAAAAATTGCCCTACTCTGCAAACACAGGAACAACCAGCTAATTTCATTTATGGTCCTTCCTGGACCAGCATGAATTAGAACAAAGCTGAACCCAACAAACCCAATGATAAACAGAAATAACTTAAGATGCACAAATGGTTTTGTTTCTTGCTGCCATAGATCATTCAATTACTGAGCAGGTATTTCAGATTTACTTTTTGATCCAAAGCTAAGTTGATGTATATTAGCTTTACTTTTCCCTTTCAGGCTAATTGTGATATTTTTTTTTATTTAAATATGTTTCTTAACATAACTTTTCAGTTGGATATTTTAGTAAGTAACCAGCCATGACTCAAGGTATAGTGAAGTTTTAAAGTTACATTTCAGGAAGCAACATAAACAGACTGTAGGTTGTACTCCAGCAGGTTGCATGACTCATTTACCAACCAACCAGCTTGTTCTTCTCTCAGCACTGTATTAAAAAGCAGAATGATATAATTAAATTGAGCAGATGTTTATTCTACAGGATTACTTGTGTATCAAAATCTGTAAGTTGACATCTTTTATGGTTCCTGCTATCTTATATACTGTGTGTTAAATGTTTTGATATGTCAATTAATTTAACTGAAGATAATTGTTCTCAGTATGAGAATAACATTAGCTTGGAATTCCAAATGGACCCCTGCTTGTTATAAATACAGACGTGATAGAGCTGTTCTTTGGTCCCTTTTTTGTTGTCAATTCTGTTTTGAAACCTTTCATTATTGCTTCAGCAGAATAAATGATCAAATGCAGGTGAATAAATACTTCAATATTTACATTTTCCTGAACCCTAAGAAATTCATATCAGACTTATTCTAATGACTTTTTCTCTTTTATAAAAAAAAACAAAAACAAGTTAAAACAAATTCTGAGACCTCATATTTATACCTAAGTTTCTAGATTTATACCAAATTCATGAACAATTATTTCCTTTTTCATACCAAATGTTCAGAAATCAATTCATAGCAGCACAGGATATTTATTAAAAAGCATTTTCCACGCTGGTAATTCACTAACAGTAATGTAAATCCATTAAATGATCTTATTTAATAAGCTTATAGCTTTAAAATCTAGTCTGTGTATAAGTTATTATAAAATGTTGCTTCCTTTAATGAAATATACTTTTGAACAATCGTGTTATCTATTGAATTTGTCATTATAGTAAATCCAGACCTATAGATTGATTCATGTCAATGACGTACATTAAAGTTTAGTTTAGTTTAGTTTAGTTTGATGTCAAAAGATTTTCTGAGTAAACAGGATCTGGCTACTTTGAATCATTGATGCTCTATTATGAAAAGGAAACAATACTTGTAAAATTAAGCAAGAAAAAGACCTGACCAATAATTTAAACCCAAGAAAAAAAACATAATATACAATGGAACAGCTCGTGCAGAGCAAAAGTT